CCCCAAAACCCCAAAACCCCAAAACCCCAAAACCCCTTCATTTTGGATAATTATTGAAAACTCCCTTATTTCTCATATAATCTCATCAGTTCTCTTCTGTAGCTTCATAACCAATTCAGACCTCTTCCTTGTTTCTGCTCTACTCTTTGTTCTTGCTGGCTAGGATTCCAGATATCAGCTGAGAAATCTTCATTTTTGCAGAGAATTTCAAGGGTATTTTATTGAAAAGTCTTATAGAGTTAGTATGCGGCTAGAAACCACTGAAACCATATTTAATAGTTAGTCAGGGAGGGAAGCTAGGTATTTGGACCAAAACGCTAATTTATACTAAATATATGGTCAGATTTTGTGTTGTTTTAAGACTGAACAAGCCTAAATTAAAAAATATTCATCATTATATCCTGACTTTACAAAGAAAGCTCAGTGCATATTCTATGAGCTTGTATTAACCTCTAAAACCTGTAATGTTAAGCTACTTCTGTTTGCTATTTATTATCCCAACAACCTAATAGCTGGGTTATGTTGTCAATAAAGCAACTTTCAAGACCATGTTCTAACCTAAGATTAAATTGCATGCTTTTAAACAATTCTTTATGGTTTTAGTATTTTCTTATGCATCAAAAAGTCTATCAAATAAGTATAGGGAAGTCCATACATGGAAATATGTCTGCCACTCCTTCCATAAGCAGGTAATTTTCTTCTCAGTTATGAACAGTTCTTGGTAGATCCTTCTTGAGTGTGAATAAAGCTTGAAATCATAGCTTTCCATTTTTGCCAGAAACTGTATTTTATTTGTTATTGTGCTCTTCTTGACTGGTTTAGTCGTCTCTCCGAGGTTGAAAATCATAAACTATCCTAGTAATTCTGAATTGCCTAACAAGTGGCTATATTAGTATCACTCATAAGCATTAGGTCAGTTTAACAAATGCATAGGAGTGATTTACAGTAAAGATATCCCATCTTCCTGATTATTTTCCTCCGGTTTAAAAATTTTGCACAAATTAGTCAAGTTCAGAGCATAAATACATCCTTGTTCCTTTTAATGGGACTGGCTCTTAACAAAGCACATGTGACTTGATGATCATTATCTGAAGGATTGCCAGATTCTTCTTAGTCCCTTCCCTATTTTCCTTCATTTCAGCACTTCCCTGAGTAAAAACTCAAGTATGTACCAGTTAGGATACTCGGAAAACTACTCTTCATACTTTTGCTTGTCGGATCGATCCTGTCATAAATTATCGATACTGAGGGATGACCATTGAGCAATAACCTAATGAAGAATTTCATTAGCAGGACTATCATAGACCAGCTCTTCTCTTGCATTTAATTCCTGGTTGAATACAAATACTTGGCTTTTAGTCGACCTTCAGAGCTTCGAGTAATACTAATCTTCACTTGGCTAGGATAAATGCTATCTAAGGTATTAGTATTACCCATGCATTCTTTGCCTTTGACAATATTTTCAGAGATGGATCTCAATAAGACATGCCAAGAGACCTCTGAAGCACATGAATAAAAAGTACTAGCGGGACAGAGACCTACAGAAGACCCTATATACTCTTTAGGATTTCAGAAGGAGGACTTCTCAATATCTTTAGGCTCTATAAATCATAGCGTTTTTGTAATATCCTTGACCAGATTTTGAACTGAAACTCAGGAGCATGAACAAATTTAGATTTATGAATACCTCTCATTCTGCATCAGACTGCTTGATAGTCACGAGTATTGCCTAGTACTGGTCCTTTAGCTTGACTAGACTCCTTTATGAAGTGATTTACCATTGGCTTTTAGCATAAGAAAGAAACAGGAAGGATATTTGAAGTAGATTAGAATCCTTGCATATATTTTCTTGCTTAAAACTAGTCTTCGAGATTTTCTGCTGAATCCTTTGTTTGAGAAGTGGTGGTTTCGTCAAAATCTTCGTTCTCAAAGTTCTTAGGTCTTTTAACACCTTGGCGTATAAAAACAGGAGTATCAGTGGATCCTAAAGAGTTTGACAAAATAGCTTACCTCAGCCTTGAAGGCCTTGGCTTGGTTCAGATTCTGGGAGCTCCTCTCGCTTCCGTTTGACTGCTCTCTTCAGGTATTTAGCCTGGCTCTTGGTTATACCTAGACGCTGAGATGTTTTTTCCATAATTATGTTAAAATAATTAATTAAATAGATATTTTTGGGGTTTTGGGGTTTTGGGGTTTTGGGG